AATTAATTAGTATTACACATCTCTGAGTCTTCTTTGATAGCCAGTAATATTTGGATGAGTAATAAAACACTTGCATGATCCATAAATGTCTATGTATTTAATTCATGAACTGCCTTTTTCATGTCTTACAATCAGCCAAATCACAAATCAGGCTGTAAAGTGAGGATTTTTAAACACCATGTATATTCTATTGATGATGACTAAGTAGACATTCCTTGAGTTATTGCATTTCTTTAGTTCTGAAGTTGTAGTTCTTTTGTTGTTGTTTAATTCATGCTGGAGGAATCTTGACCTGCTGAAGTACTGTCAATTAAGACTGGCGATAAAAGTCTTAAGCAACACTCAAATTTAATAATGGATCAAAATTTTGCCATAGTGTGTTAAAAAAACCGATGGGTCCTCATATGATAAATTATTGTCTTTTTAAGTTCAGGCAGAATAATTTGTCTTATAAATCGTCCTCATTAAGTAATTTTATTTTAAAGCAATATCTAGAGCTATCCAGTATGAGTTGTCTTTCTTTTTTGAAAGTTTTCAGTGCTGAAATTTTATCAAGAAAATAAAAAAATTCCAGAAAGGTAGTCAACTCTGTCTTTGAGATGAGTTTTATTTCTAGAGATGTTAATTTCAAGATGACAATGATTACCATTACTGTTATTATTATTATTATTATTATTAATTATTATTATCATTGCAGTGCTAGGGATGGGACCCAGGGCCACATATGTGTGAGGCAAGTACTCTACCACAGAGCTATATTCCCAGCCCAGTTGCAGGATTATTTCATACAGTCATCTTTATAGCCATGAAAAATTTTTACTTTTTTATTCTAATTTTCTGAAACGCTTTTTGGAATGCAACTTTGGTTGCAGATTTTACATGTAATTCCTTCTTATGAGGATCTTTTTCTTCTCCAGAAATTTTTGAAATTATTAAACTTTTAAAAACTAAAAAAGTCCAACTATGATCTACTTGTCTTTTTTCCTTTGATTTTTGTCAATATTATGAACAGCAAGAAGCCATTTATGACAAATAATTGATTATAATGAATTCAATATTAATTTTATTTTCACAAAAGACCAAGATGTCTCGAATTATTTTTCACTCTCTGGTGTATCTCCTATTACTATAAGTCAGCTGTATAATGTCCCCCAAAAGTCAGCTGATGGGTTTTGGGGTGATTGGATGACAAAGGCTTTAACTTCTTTGAGCCCATCAGTGCAATCATAATTCGATGGCATTACTGGAGTGTGTTGGAAACCGCAGATGGAGTGTCACTATGAATACTGTATTTGGTCTTGACCCTTTCTTCTCTGGCTTTTCCTTCTCTCTGCTTCTTGGTTGTGATGAGATAAACAGCTTCACTCCACCACATCCTTCCACCAAGAAGCTACACCTCAGCGCAGGCCCTCAGCAACGGAAATAGCCCACCACAGACTGATACCGAGAAACTGTAGGCCAGAATAAACCTTCTCTCTTTAAACTTGATTCGTGTCAGACATTTTGTCACCGTGACAAAAAGCTGACTAGTCCTAGGATTCTATCTAAATCATACCCCTATGCTTTAACAGTATTTATTTAATATTCCTTGTGTGTCTGAGGCAGCTGCAAAGTCAAATTTGACACATGTTTCATTGAAAGATTCCATGGTGGGCAGATGCAGAAAGATTTTGGTACCAAAGAGAGGTTTGGCTTTGGTAAAACTGAGATGCACTGTGTCTGAAAAACAAACAACCTGCTGGTGCCTGACATGTGAGACCCAGTGGAACCATGAGTAGGAACTCAAGGAGAAGCCAGCAGGGAAATTGTTGTGTTTTATTCTTCCCTAGAGCATCCGTTCATGTCCTCCCTGTTCCTCAAAGCAACATCCATCTCTGCCTTCTTGGGGCACAGCACGCAAGTTCAGGCAGTATTTGGGTGCAGTTGCCTTTGGCTGTGAAAACACTGGAAAGCAACATAGGGATGTATCCTCTGGGGCCCAAAGGACGTCCTGGGAGCAGATACTTGTGGGTATGCAAACATTAGCGAAAAATAAAAAGAAATCTTGTCCTTCTACTCTTCCAGATTCAGGGACTAGGGATTGCAAATCAAGCCAATAAAAGATAGATTAACCAGCAAAGAAACAATTTTAATTATGATTGTGGTACTCATGGGAAATCACAAAGAAAAATGTGGCTCTTGGGAGGAGCCAGATGATTGAAGCTTGCACAGCATCTTAGACCACAAGAAGGAAAGTGGATGTTTTCCCAGGCAGGGAAAGGAAATCACAGGAGGTGAGGGAAGAAGGGCTTGTGGAGAAGAAGGGTTGTCCTGCCTTACGGGTAGGAAACTCTCAGGGAGTTAGGGGGTTCTCTTCCTGATTTGGAGACACTTTTACAAATGGAAATTTTCTTTATAAATGTAAATTTTCTTGATAAGATGACAATTTGTAGTGCATTTTAGGAAGTTGGGAGGAAGTAAGAAGCTTTTCATGTGTGCCGGCTCTCAGTTGCCTTTAGCTTAAAATTATCCACATGCCAAGGAGGCAAATTTGGAGATAGCACAAACGACAAAGTTGCCCTGTGTATCTTAATGTTTATGTATGCACATGTGTGTGTCATGTGGGATCTTTTCACCCTTTTCACAAAATAGAAGGTTATGACCCAAAGGGGCACCTCCGGAACAGCATCATCAGGAAGGGGGAAAAGAACCCATCCTTGCTCACCCTGTGGTCTCTCACCTGAGCCTAGAAGGCCAGAGAAGCAGCAATTTGCTGTGGTCAGCTCCTGAGCACAAAGCAAGGCCGAGAGGGTGGAAGTGGGCAGATAGGGGGACAAGGATGTATCTTCCTGTGATCCTCCTAAGTCTCAAATACAGCCCTCTGCCTTTTGCATAGGCAAGTTTGCATTTTGGAGAGTGTGAGATTGGATTTTTACTTAAACAGATTAACAAAACATTCTAAGAGGTCATTGTTTTGGATTAAGTTCCTGCACTCATCCCAACATACCAAACTAAGAATCAAAATGATTTCACATGCAAAGCTCCCTGTCACCCAGCTGTTGTTATCCAACTAACTGGGAAATTAGGGTTAGAGAGATAACACCTTCAACTGACATGCAGATGAAGTTGCATCTTCCTTAATCTTTATACAAAAAAAATAACCCAATGGAGACAAATCAGTTAGTTTTCTATTATTCTGTTTCTTACCCACCTTTCAAGCCAGATAGGAGATTAGGGTGGGGCAGACTGGCTGAGCCAGCAGGAGTGACCGTCACTCAGAGACCCAGCTGTACACTAAACACAGACTCCCCACCCTGGAACTGGGACCAATCAAAAAGCTGTATCTTTAATTCTTTGTTTACATTTGGCCAGAAACAAGCAGGCTTTTCACAAAACAGCTCAGATCTGATGTCAGATGGAAGAACAGGAAATACAGATTTCTGCCATGCACCTTGTGGCCACTCTCTCTTTTCCTACTTTTAATAAATGAAAATCATTGTTACCGTTCCCATGTGTTTTGCCCAATTCTTTGTTCAGGACACCAGAATCGCAAAAGCCATTAACACAAGGAAAGTAACTTTGAAGAACCTGTCCTGTGCTCCTGCTTTTTTAACCATTCTGTGTCCATAAATCAAGCTCCTCTGCTTACCCCATTAGAACCTCTCTGTGTTTCATGGAAAGCAGTAGATACTACGGCTCAATTCTAGAGCCATTCTAGAACAAATGCTTGATGCTAGAACAGAAAAATAAAGCCAATTAGGACTACTAAATTATTATTTTTATCTTTGATCAAAGTAAATTAAAGCAAATCTTTCTCTGTATACGTCTGAGAGTAATCCCATGTCTGAAGAATGCTTTACTATTTAGGATGCCCGAGTGAGGGGGTACTCAGAGGGAGAAGGGGCAGAATGGGAAATAGTAGTGAGAAAAATTTACCTTGTGTCACCCCAGGAGGTCTATGTTCATGGACTTCCAGGACAAAATTGCTCAGAGTCCTGGAAAATAAAAATCCTAAACCATTATCCAAGCCCATAATACCTCAGGTACAGAGACATGAGGGATTTGATTTTTCTCACAGGACACGCCTTGATAGAAAGGAAATTGAAGTCTTTTATTTTTTAATAATTCTGTAAATTGTACACATTTGGCAAAGTTAGCCCAAATTGATCTTTCCTTCAGCCTGGCTCCTATTTCATTTACAGATAACCATACTTGACATGCAACCCTGGCTGTACCGGGCTTCTTGGGGAAAGCAGGGTTGACATCACTGTCTAAACTTCTTGTTTGTCCTGTGTTCAACAAACCATCGTGCAATCAAAGAAAGTGACTTGCATGCTGATGGGGAGAAAATAAGAGCCCCAACCACACTGCTGACACGTTGGGACTGCAGTGCTGCATGAAAACTCAGTGTGTCTGAGCCCAGTGAACTGGGAAGAAATATGTCAAAGTGCTGTGAGTCCCAACAAGAGGCTTGCATTTGGTAAGCATGTGGCCCGGCCCCAGCAGCTCTTTTAAGACCAAAGGCTCTGGTTCTGGATTCTCCAGCATCCACTGAGAGCCACCCAAATCAGCCAGGGTTTGCCATCCATTTGGAACTGTCCTTGCCACTCTGCCAGCCCAAGCTCTGTCCCTGTCAACAAATCACTGTGGAATGGAAAGCACACAGCAACCTACAGAGGAAACAGAATTCTCCCAGACTCCCAAGAGAGCTCAAGAAGTTCATTTCTTTCTCGCTGCATCTCAGTTTCCGTGGGTATAGTATCGCAGGAAGTTCAAGCTTTCCCTCTGAAGCCTTGCTGTGCCACGGCTGAAATAAACTGACAGTAGACAGATTAACAGGAAGAAAGGCAAACAAATGAATAAATCAAATATGATCCCAGTTTTACGAGGTGATTCAGCAGCCTTCAGTCCAGAGTGACTTACCCATGTTATGCTCAGGCGCCATGAGTCATGAACAGCTGTTCTGGACCTCTGTGTGGTTAGACAACAAAGTTGTAACCTGATGCTTACAGACTGAGTGGGGAAACAGTGAGGTCACCTCGGCAGATTCTTCTTAGCCTCTCTGTGCAGCATCCTTCCCTTCCTGGACTGGGCAGGGCTCTATCTGAAACAAGGGTCTCATGACTACAGTCAAGGTAAGTCACGGAATTTCCTTTCACAGGCAGGGGAAAGGTAGAGGAATCCTTTTAGCTTTATGTCTGCAGAGGTTGTGGCTTCTCTGAACCTCTTCAGGAAAGAGGAGTTTTGGTTTTTATGTCCTGCCTCAAGGGAGATGAGGTGTAGACAGAAACACAAGAGAAGGCCGGAGAAAAATTCTGTTTTTGAAACTTCATTTTAGGGTGTTGTGCTCAGAGCTGTAACAATACAAAAGGATTGGACCATCAAGTCCTTGACAGTTCACTATGGCAGCTACTAGTTGTCTGTGGCTATTTAAGATTATGTTTAAATTAGTTAGAGGACAGTGAAATCCTCTCTTTCAGTCACCCTCGTCACTTTTCTGTGGCTAGGGCTACTTCCAGGGGACAATCATAAGGAAATAACTTTCTATTTTTGTGGGAGATGCTTCAGGACAGGACAAGCAGAGCCCCGAGGCTGCTGTGGGTGTCACAAATGCGAGTGTCCCTTTCAGTCTTGAGGTTCAGGGTAATTGACAATAAACATTAACTTTGCCACTGTTTTGCATTTTCTCAAGCACCCTTTGGGCACTGCTCAGGAAAAAAGCCCTCAGGAGACAGGGAAAAGGATACTGGGTCAAGAGTGTCACCCTAACACAGGAGACTGAGGCTCAGAGAAGCTGCAACCTGTGACAATGAGGCTGCATGTTGGGGGACTAAGGCAGGCTGCTCACCAGCATCCAGGAGAAAGAAGGGAGCCCTGAGCAGGTCAGAGGAAGAGAAGGAGGCCTGAGCCAGACCTGAGAGCCTAACTTGAGGGCTGGTGTTTGAACTCCACAGGCCGTTAGCTATAGTTGTTGCTCACCACTGACAATCTGCTCCCATTCTTCTAAGTGTCTGTCAGGAAAACAGACATCCAGGTGCCACTCAGAGAGCCTGGCAGCCCAGTGGGCTGGAAGACACCCACTAGAAGACACCCCAGGCTCCCAAAGTGAGCCCTCCTACAGCTGGTGGCCATTGGTGGAAGAGCAGCTGGGCCAGCTCAGCCGTGGAAACCATCCCAGGTAAGAATGAGCATCCAGACTGTCAGAGACACACAGGCCACGCTGGGCCACGAGGCCCTCAACTGGTTTATCACACCCGAGTGGCAGCTGGAGACCTCCACATATCACCTGCTTGCCTCTTTTCTCTATGGGCAGGCCCAGTGTTTGAGAAAAAATCTTGGGAAAGACAGTGCTCAGAAGTCCAAAGAGGGAAGGGGGTCAAAGGTGAGGGTCCCGTAACCCAACCTGGGAAGTGGGTTGTTCTGTGTGTCCTTGCTTTCTCTTCTTTGTCCTCGATAGGTCCCAGAGAGGTTAGCTTTAGCACTCTGGCTTCATAGATGTGAAAATTGAGTTCAGCTCTACTTGGTCTAGGTCAAACAGTTTGATGGACGTGGGTTTACCTCCAGCCTGGCCAGGCCCCCAGCTGTGTTTCTCCTTTTGCATACAGAAATAAGCATCTCATGGAGGCTCCAGGACACATTCAACACCTGCTTCCAGATATCACTCCACAGAGCCTCTGGGCCCACCTCCCACCTATCACTGACAGGAAACACATCTTGCTAATTGCTTCTGTAGCAAATGCTACATGGGACCAAATTCCACAAGAGCCTGTGACAGGGAGGGCTCCCCTACTGGAGTGTAGTGAGAGGTTTTCTTGAGGAAGTTGTCTTTGGGTTAAGTTATGTAACTTCATACTGCTTATTTCCTTGCCTGTGAAATGGGAATAACAGTGACCACATTGAACCACTTCAAACAGTAGCTCTCAAGTGCTTCTAATGGAAAATGACTGTAAAGGAGCTTGTGGACATCCTTGGACCCCTGGAGGTAAGACTGCAGGAGCCCAAGAAAGACTGCTGTCCATGGCCTTCCATTGCTTGTCAAGACTTGTTGAAGTCCTCTCTCCCAGCTTTCCCTCTAGCAGGGTTTGTGCACTCCAGCTCTGTAGCTGGAATCTCCCTACCTTCCACAGACCTAAAAGAGATCCAGGCCAGGCTTTCCCTCCATCTCCTCTCCTGGAGTCTTTCCACTGCTTGGCCTTAACTCCCATCCTGTCAGTTCTAATTCCTTGGTCTCTTTCTTCTGTCATTTCAAGTCCTGGATAACCTCAAGATGTCCTTTCCCACATTACTTCAATCCCTGGGGAGCCCCTTCACAGTAATTATCTCTTCAGCAGTTGGAAGGCACAGAGCCCATGGCCCCAGGTGGCTTTTCTCCATCAATGTCCCTACCCTCTGCCATTTGGTTGCCCAGTGAGTCCCTTAAGCTGGAATCCCAGGACTTCAAGTCAAAATAAAGGAAACTTCTGGCCCATGGCCTCCTCCAAAGATGCCCCTACAGAGTCTCTGAGAGCCTCTTTCCTCCCCAGATTCCAGGCAAAGGTATTTTTATGTAGAGTCAGGGGCACGGACTTCCTCATAGAGGTAATATCTGGAATCCTAATTCTCCCCATGTCCTCCTGGGGACTGAAGAGTGATGCTATGGTTTGAATATGTCCCCCAAAAGCTTGTCATGGACATAACCCCAAAATAGGTGGGGCTTAATGAGACCTCATTGGATCAGTGTTGTTACCATAGGAGTGAGGTTTTTAGCTAATTATTTCAGTTCCATTTGCCCTTCCATTTTTCTCTCTTTCCCTCCCTCTTTATTCCTCTCTCTCCCTTTATATTCAGCTATGGGACAACACAGCAAGTCCTTGTCAGATGTCAGTCCCTTGATCTTGAACTCCTCAGCTTTCAGAAATGTGAGAAATAAATACTGTTCTTTATCAATTACCCAGTCTTAAGTATTCTAGCAAAGCAAAGATAACCAAAACTCGATTCTACCAGTTTGAGCTTTTTAAAAAATTTCAAATATATTTCCCCTCTAGTTAATATATCTTGGTGATACAAAATAAACACATTTATCAGGGTAACTGGTACATACGCATATTTCTTTAGTTAGGGACTTATTACCCTTGCAGTGATTTTAAAATATGTTCACAAATCTATCTCTCTTCAGGAAGCACTGATACCTCTCCTACTTCTCATGGGCTGGATCCAGTGCCTTGCTTTTGAGGAGAATGAGAGAGGAGCCTAGATTATAAAAGGCATTGAGGACCCTCCTATGTCCTGTGTGGTGGAACGCCTTCTCTGGAGAACACCAGCTTCCTGGTGGAAGGTTCCATGTGATGAGGATCTGAGACACCAGATCAGTTGTCTTTTTTTGGCGCATCTCCCTCATATAGATGTTTCACCTTAAGTTTCTTCTCTTTTTGGCCATATTGAGAATTTAACTCAGTTCCTCAAGCATGCTAAGCAAGTCACCTACTCCTGAGCTACATCACCAGCACTTTGCTTGCTTTTTCTCATTTTTACTTTTATTTGCACAGACTTGCAGCACATAATGTTTACACAATGTGGGGAATTGGTACAGGTACATAGCACATAGCAATTTTTAAAATCATTTTCCTCTCTTCTGCCACCTCTATCTCTTAATCCCCTTCCTGTTGGAAGAAGCTCTATCTCCCTATGCCCTATTATTTATGTTTGTGTTTCTTTGCTCTTTATTCATATTTGAGTTTCTCATATGAATACACTATCTTGAGGGCAGATACTCCAGCTCCCATCAAGTCTTCAGTGACTACAATCCTGTCTGAAGTCTTGACTGCAACCTCTGGGGAGATCCCAATATAAAACCATCCAGCAAGCGAAATTCCTTGTGCACAGAAAATGTGTGACATAATAAATCCATCACAGTTCTAAATCAAGGCAACAATAACAGTGATACCAACCAAAAGCCGAATAAAAGGAGGCTGAACACTCTTCAAGAACATGCTACAGTGGAGACGAATTTATCCACTTCCCTAGAGGAACTTGGCATCCTCACAGGTACCCTAAGATGAGACACATGGCTGACGATGTTGGAGTGCAGGTGGAAATGAGTGGCCTGTCTTTCATGGCATCACCACTGAGCCACATTTGTGGAGATGAGAAGCCTGGTCATCACATGGAGGCCCTGTCACTCCTGCAGTTTCTGTGTCCCTCTTGCTGCCCCCACAACCCTCTTGGACAGACCCCGGGGAAGAACAACAGCAAGAGGAATTACTCAAGTTGTTTCTCTTAGGAAAAAAAAAATGGACCGAGCCCATAAGGTTGAATTTGTATAAATTAAATGGTTGCTAGAGATTACTGTGTTGAACTCCACATTCTTTTTAAGCGTGTTTTGTTGAACGTGTTTCTTTTCTCTTTTATGGTTTTGTTTTGTTGTTTGTTTGTGCTGCAGAGATTGAACCCTGGGGTCCTTGCACATACTAGGCAAGTGCTCTGTCGCTGAGCTATACTCCCAGGTCCTAAGTCCACTTTAGATCTTGCATTAAAAATTATGCTTGCTGTAGTTTTAAAGTACATACTACTCCATAAACATTAGTACTAACACTTGGCTGTTCATCAAGATGTTCAGTTGTCAGAGTCTGACCACACTGCCTGGGTTGATCTGAAACTCCTCTTTCAAGCAATAATCCCAGCTCACTGAGTTTACAGGCTCATGCCATACTCTTAGCTTCAAAGCCCTACTTGTTCTTTTTTAAAAAATTTCCCTAATTATTTGACTTTGTAGTAAGTCAATGCTATATATTTGGGGTTACAAAATCATATTCTAATTAAATATTGCCTAGGGCTCTGATAACATAATATAGCAAAATAGATGTCTCAGAGCACCAGAAATGTGCTGTGTGCTAGTTGTTGCATCCAGAATTCTGAACTCCAGGTGCCAGCAGGACTGAGATTTCCCTGAACCCAGGAGGCATGAATCCTCCCTTACCTTGCCTGCTGATCCGCCAGTACAGCAAATATTCCTTGGCTTGGAGCTGCAGGATTCTAGTTTCTGTCTTTGTCATCACATGCTTTTCTTCCTGGGTATCTATGCTTTCACTCGGTCTTAGATGGACATCAGTCACACTGGATTGGGTGTCTACACTACTCCATCATGACCTCACTGTAAATAACTCTACCTGCAGTGACTCTGGTTCCAAAAAGGTTCATATTCTGAGGTGCTGGAGGTTAAGGTCAAAATATTTTTGTTTGGGGTAGAGACTGAGAGGAGTGTGAGGGGCTTCTCTCAAGTGAGAAGCCACATGAGGCTTTGATGGTCTTCTCTGCTTCATGTATGAAAAACTACCTATGTAGTAGGAAAAGCCTGGGCCCAGAAGAAAAGTGGGGCCCAGAAAACACCTGAATAAATGGACAGATAAGAAGCGGTGTACCAGCTCTGTCCCATCTCACCTTGTGCTCCCAGGCAAGCCAGTGACCTTCTCTGGTCTTGCAAGATACTTCTACACAGCTGCACATGTCCTAGAAGCAGCCCCAGGAGTGTGTTGTGCCTCTGGTCTGCCCTTGGTTAATGAAGAGAATTTCTGAAAATCGTTACTTGTACAGATTCTTACTAAGTTCCCAATTGTGACCAAAAAAAAATCAGGAAGATGTCCTCCCTGAGTATCACAGTATAGCAGAGACATATTATTCCACTCTACAAAAATCACATCTGCCCAGAGCCAACCAAACCAGAGCCTTGAAGGAATGCAACTTGGAGCTCTGAGAGCTACAAGTGGGTCTCTACCTCCTCAGCATTACATAGGTGAAGGCAGAACACCTGTGATTTCAGCCTAAAAGGCTGGATTGTGTTCCCCCAAAACTTGTATGCTGACATCCTAACCCCATTGCCCTCTGTCCTCAAACCAGACCTCAGATAACCATATGGACATTGGCTTCAAGCAGAAGATAAAGAAAATCTTCATAAAGTTTTTGGGCTGTCTCATCTGTTTTTATGTGCCCTCTCTTGGTCATGGGCCTCAGGATTCTCTGATCCCACAGTGAGGTGCAGTTCTCTGCAAGACCCTCCCATCTGGAACAGAGGGTGTGCTACAATTTCCTTGCCCAGCAGGCTCCAAGCTCCACTCAGCCCATCTGGGCAGGGATATTGGACAAAGCTGACCAGGGATCACGGTTCTGAGTCACTTTCCAGAGACTCAGTGAGATGTATGTCCAGGAGTTGCTATTGCTCTGGATCCCTGTCCTTCTATGTGGCCCTGATGCATAACAGCTCACCTGGGATTGCCACCTCCAGAAGGGCTCCCTGGAGAAAGGAAGCCAAGTTGTCTGCCTCTCAGGCTGCCACCACCCACTTGACTTGTAGCTGCTGGAGAGGAGTTATGTGTTTACCCAAGGCTTATATCTGGATGTTCCCTCAAAGCCTCATGCACTCATAGTTGGGGCTTTTGAGAGTGACAGGATCATGGGTGTGATAGTGGGTTACGTGTGTCTGATACAGAATTAGTCCACTGTTAGTTTTTGTATAGTTCTGGGTATGACTGAATGAATTTACCGAAGATGGAAGACCCACCCTAGTTGTGAGTAGCACCAAGAAATAGTCTCGTAGGCTGAATGAAATAAAAAGGGAAAACAGAGGAGGGTTGCTGCCTCCTGCCTGCCACACCATATACTGTTCCTGCTCTGTGATGCTCCTCTGTCATGCTGCCCTGCCTTCGAACTAGAGACTATGGACTGAAACTTCTACACACCATGAGCTAAAATAACCCTTTTCTCCTCAAACTGTATTAGGTATTTTTTCCCAGCAAGCAAAAAGTACTCAAGACCTCCATGGAGTCTGAGCGCCTGTCCAGATACTGGCAGAGCAGGTTGTCTGTGATTTGTGGCTCGGTGTTGAACAGATCAATGAGAAGGCTGGAGACAGATCAGAGGCTGACACCTTGTCCCCTTCTATACACCATGCATTTGACACTTTGCTGAGTCCCTAGAATCTGGTCTCTAAAGTGAGGTCATCTCACACCGAGACTAGGAGGCTAGGAGAACTGCTCAGGAGGGCCTTTTTTCTAACCTATAGATGACACCAATTTGGGCCTTTCAGGCAGCCAAAAGCCCAGGGCCTGTCATAGTGTGGTCACTGTGACCCTGAGTAGGCATGGACTCGGTTCCCTGCAGCTTGCAGAACAGATTTGGGAGCTGTGTTTTGTGTTAACCCTTTCAACTCTGTAACAGATATTAACAACCACCACAACCAAAGCACATGTGACTCTCAGAGTTAGAACCCCTCGTACCTCCTCTAAACCTGGAGAAACTCACTTGGGCCTCCCTGCTAGGTCTGCAATTGGTTCTGAGGAACGGGGCAGGGGAGAGGGACTCTGCTTGCAGAAAATGCCAAGGAGAAATCAGATTCCCTCAATGATCAGGAAAGTGGTCAGGTGGATTATGGACATGGCCAGGGGCACAGACAGAGTCCTGGGAATAACACACTGAGTGCCCAAGCCCAAGCATCTTCTCTCACCAACATGCCATCAGTATTGTCCCAGCAGAGCTGAGGACAAGCACAGGTGGAGGAGAGGGGCCAAAAGGGCAGAAAGCACCAGCCTGCAGGCAAGGTGAGCACTGTCTTCAGAGAAAGGGGGATTAATCTTCCCGGAGAGCCAGCCACTTACTGCAGAAAGTAAACAGGAAAAAGAGACTTCTCTACTGAGGATCACTATTCTCTGGGAAAGTATCAGATGGCTTAGAGTCAGCTCCCTGGGGGCTCTCTGTGATCCCTTTTGCCCTTTAACCCTGACTCCTATCAAATGCACATGCAACATACATGTGCATGCATACCTGTGCACATGTGCACCTGTGCATCCCTGCACAGCTCTCTACTACAGTTGATATCACTCAGGGACATTTTTCTCCCAGGAAATCTTTGGCAATGTCTACAGACATCTTTGGTTGTTACAGCAGAAGGGGCCACACTGCTCCTGGCATCTAGCAGGTAGAGGTCAGGAATGCTACTCAGTATCCTAAATCACACGAGATAGTCCCACAGCAAACCATTATTCACCTCCCAATGTTAATAGTGGACAGAGTTAGAGCCCTGATTTAAAATTATGAAGCTATCCACAAATCGTGCTTTAAAAGATATTGGAATTTCCAATCAGATTCCCTTGCTACCCCTTGGAGACTCTGTTCTCCATCTGGCTGTCGTAGCCATCAACTACCATCAGCTTACAAAGACACCTGTGGCACATTGCATGTCTCATGTTTTGTTGAAGAAGTTCCTCTTTTCCAACTTTTTGTCAGTAAAATGCTTTGGTCACACACACATGCACTGTGTGTGCGCACACGCGCGCGCACACACACACACACACACACACACACACACACACCCCATCTCTTGAGAATGCACAGTCCATTGCTTTTCTCAGTGCAAATGCTTAGCCACCACCACTTTGGGCAATGCTAGGAAAGACTGTGGAAGCATCAGAGCCCTTAAAAACCGGCAGCAAGGGGCTGGGGATTTAGCTCAGTGGCGTAAGCGTTTGCCTTGCAAGCAGGCAGTCATGAGTTCGATCCCTGGTACCGATAAAAAGGAAAAAGACAAAAAAAAAAAAAAAAAAAAAAAAAAAACTGGCAGGATATAGGATGCTGGATGACACAGCAAGTGTAAGTAGATGTGTGAAAATGGGGCTTCTTTTGCTCTCTCAGGCAAAATGAGAATGGAAACCAGGAGTCCCTTTTCTCTTTGCCAGGTGTTCAAAGTCTTTTCTTCTCATTGAGATACCCTAACTTCAGAAGATGAATGATACTCAAACTTCAGAAGTTGATATGACATTTGGCAAATAGCAAATTTTGTTTTTCACTAATCTAGACTCATTTTTCATTGTAATTATACTTCATGGTTAAGGGGAGTCTCAAGAGGACCTTACAACTTTTAGTACAAATAAAAGGAATCAAGCAACTTTTTTGAACAATGGAAGCTATTCTGCCTTCTTGTTTGGGGGAATATTCTTTACATACATTCAAAATCCTCAGAAAAACAAATATGAGGGGGGACTATAATTATTTTAATGAAATGACAGTCATTTTTAAAATCACAAAGCATCATCATTTAAAACTAATTCACTTCTGCAGGCTGGCAGTGTGGATTGCTATTGGGAACAGCATCACTGAATTGAGTGGTTCGATGATGGCTTTTTTCTGTTTAAAGAGATAAAACAGAAAGGAGCCTCCAAACTCTCCCACTTTTCTTCTCTTCTTTTGGTAAAAAACTTTCCAGATTCTCAAAACAGCAGTGAAAAATGCTGATTATGTTGTCAAGCTGAAATTACATGCCAGAGAGATTCCTAGGCACTTGCCAGAAATCACACTTCTAAGTCAGAGCCCAACTCTGTCACTGAACATATTTCCTGGAAGAAAGACACTGAAAAGCAGGTATCTGAAGACCTTCTTTTTGTACTGCCTGTGACAGACAGGTGAATCAGCCATCAGGTGAGGTGGGAGGGTTGTGATGCAGGTGGAGGCTGATATGACTTTACTTCAAGGGAAACTGACTTGGAACCCCTAGAGTTGAGGGTTTTCTGCCAATGAGTTTTCCAGGTTTCAAGTTAGGAAAGCACTGGATTCAAGAAATCCATGGGTCTGCCCACAGTAGACCTTTAATAGAAAAAGACCAGAGTCCAGGGACATGGCTGGCAGATGGGCATCAAAGCGGTGCCTCCTTCATCCAGCAAGGAGATCCAGCAAGCATCTCCTTCCCTCTCACAAACCATAGCAGCCTTCCTGACAATTGCAATCACATGCAGGACATGGCTCTTTGGTTTGTTTTAAAGTATCACTCTGCCCACAAGTTCCTAGCTCCAAGATGTTTATACTAATTTCATAATGTCAAAAACCTGATCTTGTTCTAAAAAGAGACAGGTTTCATCATACCTTACTTTTCACCTGCTACACAGTTTTATTAACACGTCTCCACAAAATGAAGCTTTTTACTTTGAAGAGCATGCAATTTTACATGTTTCTGTGAGCACTTTCCTCTGATAATACATTAGCTGTGACAGTCTCAAATGTAAGTAAAAATGTTTTTCTGCAGGTTCCTATTCTGTTAACTTGTCAGAGACAAGCAGTTTATTTCCTAAAGAAATGAAGAACGACAAGAAATTATGGGAGGCAAAAGGGTTTATTTTCATTTCACGAAGCCAACAGTACATGTAGCACAGATGAACCCACTTCTTGTCAATGAAATGACGGGAGACCAGACACTGTGCAAAATTACTATTTCAAAGTTTGTGTGGGAGCTTTGCAAGCCCACTCAGTAAAGGCCAGCAGGAGCAGCTGAAAACCAAACCAGTGCTGGTTGAGTGTTGCTCCAGTGCTTGTGAAAGACAAATGAAGATGGATGGGGTAGGGTTGGCAGATGCCCCTTGTCAGGTTGATTTAAGGTCTGATCATGTAGCCTTTCACCGAGCAGCCAGGTAAATCAAACAGCACAGGTCGATAAGGATGTTGAAGCGATTGTCTGGTCCTTCCTCCAGAAGCTATTTATCTCAACCGCACCTTTCCCTCAGAACCATTGATTAGCACAGCTTTAAGTTGGGTTCATTTTACAGACTGTGTGGTACTAAATTTTGTTTCTGGGAAGTTCAACTGGAGAACATTATTTCTGTCCTCCCTTCCTGTCAAATGTGGCCTTGCTGCATAGATTGTGCATTGGCAGGTTAACAGCCCACCTGTTGCCTAACGAATATTTATGAACAATTAATTAGAGAGACAACCTCATGGCACAGCCAGTGCCCTGGTCTTCAGCATGAGACTTATTCAACTTAGCGAAGTGGCCAATGGGAAGGGAGCACAAAGTCGAGAAGGAACCCCGGGGCTGTGTCCATCACATGTAGTGATGGTAAACACAGGGTTCTGAGAAGCAGGAGGGAAAAGGGCTTCACAAGTGTCTGAGAGCCACAGAAAAAGAACTATCTTCAAATTCAACACCCAGGATTAGGGCCGAGCCTTCAGGAGCAGGTAGCATAGCGACTGAGTCCTTGACTGCCCAGCTCACCTTCTGTAAGCAGCACCAACTTGCACAGAGCCTTTGAGTGCATCCAGGGACCAGGGGAGCTGCTCAAGGTAGCTCTGAATGCTCTAGGGCCACATTAGCCAAGAACATACTCTGCCACTGAAAACCACCCAGCTCCTTTGAAAGTTCTCCTGTAGACATCGTTAGTTTCAATCAGCCAAGTGCCTGACTTTGAAGCCAACTGAGTTCCATAGTCTAGTTGAGTTCATGTTCACTGAATTTTCTCAGGTGTGTTTTGCCACAGGTAGAGTTTGGACCAGGTTGTGGGTAATGATGTTGTTAGATCATGGCTTTCAGCCCAAAGAAAGTTCTTCTGGGAGGGGACAAGGCATGTGCGAACCCCAGCAGTGCAGCATATTTGTTATTGATCATTATGATTTCTATACTGGCTTTGGTCAAATGAGAAGATGTCACTGCTGAAACTGACCCTTAATCTTATACATCAAGAAACAGGAATGGGGCCACAGAATTGACTTGCCCAAGATTATGAGGACAGGGCCAAGTCCAGCCTCAAAGCCTGTACCGCTCTGGAGACACTGTCAGTGCAGGCTTCCTTCTCTATGCCGAAAGCATCCACAATGAGTTCCAGTCTGTAGGAAGTCCATAGGAAAGCTGTGGACAAGTAGCTTGTCCAAAATGATTTCAGAAGTGGTTTCAGTGAGTCTTAACTTGGAAACCACTTTTCCACGTAGAGTTTGAAGCACCACTTTGGCTCTAAAGTGAGACCACCTCTAGCTTCCTTGCATCCCATACATGTTTCCAACTGCTGAGTCTACTTGCAGCCAACATAGAAGCCTTTGACTTTACAGCCTGACCACAAATGTCACCCTTTCAAATGTCTCCCATGCAGCAAAGATGACCTAGTTTAAGGTAAGAATGAACTATCACTCTCCAGTGCCAGAAGTCTGCCACAGCGTGTTCCTCTAAGTGATGTGGGACAGGGACACCAGCCTTTCAGAATGATGGGGACTCACTGTGCACTGGACAACAGCACACACACTGCAAACGACTCTGCAGAGAATGCACCACCCTCTGGGGGCTTCCTGTTTGTGTGATTCAGAGCCTGTGAAGAGACACGCTGAGTCACTTGGCAGCAGGCACTGGATCCCAGACATTCACATGCTTCAATTCTGGTCCGGTGCTTCTCACCCACAGTACCTCTTCCTATTTTTTGAAGGAAGAGAAAACCATAGACCTGGATGATCAGGTAATTGTAATATTTGATAATATTCTACCATATGAGTATAGCCTTAGTGATTAAGGTTTCCTGGAGGATCCTGAGGTGTCTTTCAAAACAAAATGTGTATGCTTATGCATGTATGTGTATATTTGTGTGCATGGGTACACTTGGGTATGTGCACATTTATTTCTAAAAGTTCACATTCTTTAGGGTACTTTTCAGTCATTGACTAAGCATTCATCTTACAGTAACATTCTCCATAATCTGGAAAACAGCTGGGTACGCAGATCCTGAAGAACAAATTTCATGATGCCACAAGGACTCTGATGGGAACAGAGTTGTGGTCTTAGCTCTTACAAGTCCAAAGTGATGGGTCCCGGATAGATATCACTCAGCAATGGTAGCCCATGAGGGAATAGTTAGTGTAATGAGTGACTCTCATGGTCATGACATTGTCTCCAGTCTACTGTGTGCACAGCTGAGGACCACACGGTCACTCCCTCCATTCTTTGTGCTGGAAAGAGTTCAGGACCACCAGCCACATGGACATGTTTCTGGCTCAGCTCCTTCCTGTGCCTCTGATCACAAAAAGGTCAGTGACCTTCTATGAGCCCAGTTTCCTCCTGACTTCTGCACAGCATCTTAATGGCTATCTTAATGGCTGATCACGCACTATGAAGATTCCTGGTTGCTAATAATATTTATGATACAGAAAAAGAAGAAGAAAAGAGGTGAAAATCCATAAGGGACTGGATCATGGCTGAGGGATCAGAAGGGGAAAGCAGGCATTGGATAAGCACCAGCTCTGTACTGGTATCACCTCTGTTCCTCTAAACCTGGCTATATCCTGTCCTTCCTCAACAGGCACTCTGGGCAGGGGCATGGTCTTCCCTTGTCAGGGAGGGGCTGGGATTTAGGAAATTGCTGCCTGGTGAACGCAGAGGCTGATGGGCTAGAGGGAGGCAGACAAGCCTGTGCTTGGAGCCCAGGGTGGGGTAGCTCAGTGCAACTCTGGAAAGTGTAAAGCATCACCCCAGGCCCACGATACAACACCAGTGAAAGCTGAGCATCTATAGGGAGATGAATCATCTGCCCTAGTTGACTTTTGAAGAAAAGCACTGCTTCAGAAGTGCAGACATGTTGACTCGCCCACTTGGCATGCTTGGGGTGCAATAAGCTGTCAGTAAGGTTCCTATCTATAAGCGTATAGCTGGGTATAATCTCTCTTGGTAAGGGAAATTATACCTACATATACACAAATGCAAGGTACGCATATGTGAGTATGTGTATGCATGCGTGCACATGCGCACACTTACACACACACTCAGAAACAGCAGTGTGTGATTAGTGCCCCCACTACTGTTCCCAACAAGCCTGTCTCTGACAAGTCCCTCTGAGCCCTACCAGGAAACTACCCACCAGGTGCTGTCCTATGAGTGTCATAAGTGACCTGGCCATTGAGGAGAAGGTGTTTCCAATCAAATTGGCATCCAGTCTGCAAGCTTCCACTGCAGCAGAAAATCTCAAAATAGGACAGACCAAACTGTAAGACCAACTCACTTCAGGGAGCCAACACTTCAAGGGGGTGACAGGGTGAAAACAGCCAGGATTAGCCAGGCTTCATTTCCTGAGAGTACCAGAGGGGCTTGGGTCCCAGGCTACTCTACTGGAGCAGTTGACTCCATGTACCCGCAAGGATGCCCCCTAGGCATTCTGTTGACTTCCAAAGCCAGCAGCATCTTCTTACCGATTTTCCACATCAGTTTTGTCTCAGAGTTCATTCCTTCCCTGATTACTTACTATTTCTCATGCACGAGTAGAATCCTGTGAGTGCTCCATCCCTGGGAGACATCTTTATTGCTCTTTGAAAAACATTCCAGGGTTCCGGGCCTGCTTTCCTCCTTCACAGCGGGAGCTCAGCACTCTTCCTGTGTGGGTGACACAGACGGGGTGGGGGAAGAAGAATCAGTTCCCAAATCTAACTGCAGAAAAAACCAAGCCCCAGGCTTCCCAAGGGCTTTCTCATTCCTGATGTTTCCTTCAGTGAAGGGGCAACAGAGGAAGAGATTAGTAGGGTGTTTGGATTCTGTTTGCAGAGTAAACACAGAGATCTTTATCTCCTGTAATTCCTGGGTTCTGCTCTCAGTTTACCCAATATTAAAACTGATCCTCAACAGTTTCCATGCTTTATCTTTTCACAGCAGCCTCCTGGGGGTGGAAGAAGCAGCGTGGCCCTGGGAATATTTTGGGGGCTGCCCTGTAGATTTTGGGGTCTGAGGAAGAGACCAAGTCTTCCTGCTGCCAGCCTCTGTCTTTTCTGGGCTGAGATCTCACTAGCAGCTTGACTCCAACACTAGCAGTGGGGCTCCTGCAGGTCAGGGCGACCTCATGGCTTCTGGACATCATCCTCGAATGGCCCTTATGTGCTTTCCCTGGCCTACTGGGCACCTCCCAGGTCTTCCTCTGCTGCCATCCCTGGGCTCAGGGCTCCCAAAGCTTGGACAAGCCATCCTTGCAGCCAACTCGGACACAGACAGCTGCCTGATGCACAGCTCCCAGCACCTCCCAGAGGGAACTCATCCCCCAGGTGGGACCTGCTCCTTCTTTAGCACCCCCTCCCACAGGAGAAGCCCAGGCACACTGCCCACCCTGGACCCCTCCTTGCGCCAACTCTCTCCTCCACCCATCTCAGCCTGTCAGTCCCAGCGTCTTCCCTCTGGGCCCACAGGACTCCAGCTCCTTCCTGGGCAGCCCTGCTACAACTCTCCCTGTGCAGGGGCCAGAGCTTCCCAGCCTCCTGTCTGCACACAGCTCGGGCCTGCTCCTCCCCACCCTGGACCTCCCATATTGTCTCTGCCTTCAGAGCAGAATGTAGAGGAATCCAGTCTCTCCACTTGCACACTTGCTTTTCTTGCTGCTCTCCTCCATGCTGAATCCCAGCCTCCGTCCCCTACCTGAGGCCCCAGAACCCAGAACACACTCTCCTTGATGACTTTATCTCTGCTTATTTTCCACCGGCCTCACTTCCTCCAAGAAACCCTCTCTGATGTACAATTCCATCCCAACCCAAATGTACTCCAGCCAGTCTGCAGTGGGGTAACATATGGGCTGCAGATCCGTTGATTCTGAGATGTGGAGCACACAAGTTCCTCACCATTATCTCAGAAATAAGCTAATGAGGGCTGACATTACTGCAACCTGCAAAACAAGCCTGTTTTTTATTAAACATGTTAATCAAATCATGCATTGAAGAGCATAGTATGACCCTGGAGAGGTGTGTGTATGCTAGTGTGTGTTATACATCACTATGCACTTATGCATTTCCATAATTATATATTTCCAGGCATATTTATGAATATATATTCATACAGAGTATACAACTTTGCATACATCTACAGGGGAAATTTCCTACCCGTGCACAATACAAGTGAGCTACCAGAAACTCCGAGTTCGGAAACCCAGCTCTGTGGCTCTATTTCCCTTGACCAGGACTTGGCCTTCCTTCACCGGGAAGCTGGGTGAGTGCTGTGCAGATGCACCTTTAATTTACTTTGCACATTCTGTTCTAAACCCCATGGCACTGGGGAATGAGGGAGACTCACTGTGCTCTTGGACTTGCAGGCCACTGGGGAACGGAGGCCCACACCTAGCAATGGCAGAGCTGTGGGACGGGAGCAGAGAGAGTGCAAGCATCTGAGGGTCCCTGGAGATGTCTCCTTTTGAGAAGGCTCTGCAGCTGCATCTGGCAGAGTGGACAACACTTCGCTTTGCAGGGTCTCCCAGAGACCTTGGTGATACCAGCCATGCGCAAATGTGTCTGAAAAACAACACCTCCTTCTAAATTCACCTCTGCTGCATCTTCCTCCATTAGCCCCTCGTCCAAGGCTCCTGCTCAGCACACTTCCCTCTTGCAGTTTGGGTCATCTGCTACACAGTGCTAGTGACTTGTTCCTCTTTTGCTGACCCTGGGACGAGGGCTTAGAGGGAACTGGCAGGGTCTCAGGACGCTGGCCCTGGAGCTACCTTACAGGACACCCCACAGACGCAGACAGGGTCATACAGATGCCAAAGCACTGGCCCTAAAACTGCTGAGATCCACTGCAGACTTGTGGCCTGCCCAGGCCCAACTCTAGTTCTTCCTTCCTCTGACACCTAGCAGACACTCCAGGGAACACTTGGTGACTTCACAACACTTAGGTTTAAGAGGAAGGAGAAGACACAACAAAGCAGAGCAAAAAGTGCCCAGACCGCAATGCAGTAAGAAGATGAGAAAGGGCAGAAAGCAGTCGTGCTGGCTAAAAGGGGCTCTGAGCTGAGTGCTCCTCAGCCTCTTTCTGTTGGTAACAACTAATGCCGCATACTCTGTACAAATGGCACAGAGAAAAAGGGTTTTTTCGTCCCACAGCTCTGGTCCAAGGTCACAAGCCTGTATATTTCGATGACCTTATTACTAGCAGAGGTGACAAGGTATCACATGGTGAGAAACCAAGTCAACTTGCTTTTATGGCACTCTCAAGATAGCCCAGTAATCTGCTGACCCCCTAATCCATGCACCCATTAATCTATTAATCCCTTAATCCACTCATGAGGGAACTCATGGGACAGAGCCCTCATCACACTTAAAGGACTCACCTGGTCCTACTTCTTAATATTTTGTAATGGGGGTTAAATCTCAAGATGAGTATCAGAAAGGACATGCATTCCAACCATTGCAGGAGCTGTGCCAAGGCCTGACAGGTGGATCCCAAAGAGAAGGCAGAGATAGAGAACGACAAGCAAAGCCACGGCTTTCAAAAGAGCCGACTCCAACAGCACCTGGTCCCTCTAAATCATGAGAGACTTAGAAAGTCACCCCCATCCCCATGGCCAACTCCACAACAGGAGTCTGCTGTGCTATAACCACCCCAGCCCCCTTCAGACAGACATACATAACTAACCCACTCGTTTTAAGTCACATAAATCAAATTATATGCATTTAACACCTAAAAGGAAGGATGGCAAAAATCGATGCATCCATACACGTTTGCAAGAATGATAATCTGAGAGATGGAAATGTATGGAAATTCTTCACTGGAAATGAAAGGAAATGGAGCCCGTGAGAAATACTCCTTGCAGAAGAACTGAGTTTTCCCCAGGGCAACGGAGTGTTTCTGCAGAAGGCCATAGGTCAGAGCCTATTAGGTGAAATGAATCTGCCCTGAGCTGCATAATCCCATCAAAGGGAGAGAGGATGGGAAGCAGCCAGGGTGACCTCAAGGTCCAGGAAGCAAGCTGTTTGCTAGACCGCAAACAAGTTTCCACTCCAGGAAGGATTAAGCAACCCCACTGGCCCCCCAGGAGCCCTGTGTCTGTACTAGAAAGACTCGCTATGCTTTTGAGAATAGTTTGTTTGAAGGAAATTTGCAACTTCATGGGCTCTTCCAGATTGCTCTCTTTTAACAAGGAATTAATTATAAAGCCAGAAGAGTACCTGCCTTTATTCCACCCCCCACACACACACACACCCTAAGAGGACCAAACAGGAACTGCAGCAATCAATACCAAATTAAAGCTCTCATTACAAAATAAGAAAACAACAGCTCCTAAGCAATTCCCATTGGCTGCTGTTCTTTTAAGTCCAATAAAACAACTTAGCTTTTATATCTTAATTTAGAAGCCCAGTGGCAGGGAGCTGGCTTCTCCAGAGTGCGTGTGCTGGAGGGAATCTCCATGCATGGAGAGGCATGAGGCAGGGCTGCTGTGGCCACACAAGGGTGTCTGGGACTATGCAGGTGACTTTGCTGCTGACCTGTGAATGATTCCCACTCAGATCCAAGAAGCCCACTGTGGGACCTGACAGGGTCTACTCTTCTGAAGACCACGAAGAATGGGGTTGGTATGGACCAAATGAACATCCCAGACCAAGCACGAAGTCTAACGCCAAGTCTTCAGGCCATGCAGTGTTTTGTGAGTTAACTGTAAGAATGATCTAGCAAACTCTGCTCTGATTTGAGGGCTACTTCTTATCACCTCCTGTGCACATGGCACAAGGAGCCCCTGACCTGGGTGGAGGGCATCCAGCCTCCCCTATGATGTCACCAGCTCCTTAAGCAGTCATTCTTCTGCACCCATGGACTACAAGGCAGGAGATGGCCATGAACCCAAGGGCCTGAGGGAGTCCATCACACAGGGAAGAGGCTGACAGGCCACGCAAAGGCAAGGGAGGATGGAGATGGTGCAGGAGCAAGCTGCCCACTCCGGGGCCGGGGTGAGACAGAGTCAGCTAGACTGGGTCCTTCTGGAGGGTGGGGTAGAGGGCACAGCTGGTCCTTTCAAGGCTTTTTTTTTTTTTTTTTTTTTTTTGGTACCGAGATGGAACTCACGACCTTCCACTTACCAGGCAGGCGCTTAAGCCACTGAGCTAAATGCGGACCTTGCACTGAGCCTGGTCTAACTTCCTCTTTCAGGTGAGAGTCCTTCTAGGGGAAGGAAAGGCCACGAGCCCCTGCCTGGGAGGACACTCCAGACCCCACAGAAGTCGGGAGGAAGCTGTGTCTGAAGAAGAGAGTCTGCCACTTCCTCCTCTCTTCTCCAGCCACAGCCAGGATGGACACCGAAATGGGGAGTGGCGGCCACAGTGCAGACAGGGAGCCTGGTCCCAGGACGTAGGACACATTCCCAGAGGGCCAGCACAAGGGGTGAGGGGAGGGAAGTCCACACTTGGGAGGTGAGCAGAGTGCATCTCGCTCTAAGACCATGTGGCTTCATGGAAAGAAAATCATTTCACTCATGCTCAGTCAGTCAACTCACTCTGTAAAAAGGATCCCACGCCAGGATCCCCAGGCTCGTCATGAACAGTGGGGACAAGCGTGAGCAGGAGATGCAGACAAAAGGCCGCGAGGGTGTACAGAGAAGGGATCCTAGAAGGCTTCCTGGAGGAGGCGGCCTGTTCTTAGTAAGGCTTGGAGCAGCTCAGCTCGCTGTACAAGAATCGCGTTGAAAGGGGAGGCCAGTGAGGCCGAGCGAAGGAGGGATTGCCAAGACCTCCTCTTAGGCTTTGGGTTCTACAAAGAGTTCAGCAAAAATGAACCGCGCAGAGGCACCATGAATGGCGATGGGCACTGCCGGATACACACAGACTCACGCAGAAGCCCTGAGGTCCCCGGAGGCGGGGCGGGAGCTGGTTTGGCAGGGCGGGCAGATTCGGGACTCTGCAGTCGCCCCTGCGAGCCCAGGATAGGAGAGAGCTGGAGAGCTGCACCGGCGGACACACCAGGGTCACCGCGGCAGGCAGGTGGGGTCGCTCCCTCGCGCGTCTCGATACTGAAACGGCCTCTCTGGCTGCTGCGACCCAGGCCCGGGGTCCCGTCCTCCCTGCGGAATTCTGGGGACCCCGCACCCGCGCGCCCTGGGCTCCAGCGCGCAGCCATGTAGCTTTCCAGGCGCGCACACGCGGGCTCTGCTGCCCTCTAGTGGACATTGTTGAAACAACAGCGCAGCTTTGCCGCTTGGCCCTTTGGAGGCTGGTGGGATTAGTACCTGGGTCCTCTGTAGCCTCACCTGAGAGCGTGAACGCCCTGCAGTTACAGCAAAGCCTTTCCAACGCTCCTGTAATGAAAGCCATTCACTCCTATCACCAACGGCGCTCTAAACTTCAAAAGCATAAATATAAAAAACAGCAAAAACTAAATGGAAAATGAAGTGTGGCAGGAATGTAACTCAGTGATAGAGCAGATGCCTATCATGCTTGGAGTCCTGGGTCTGATCTCCTGCACTGGGGAAAAAAGTCACAGTGAAGTCTCACAAAATGGAATTGGTAGTAGGTGTGGTGCCACAGATCAGTGATCCAGCACTCTGGGAGGCTGAAGCAGGAAGATCAAGTTTGAGCCCAGTCAGAGCAATTTAGTGACTTACTCAGATGCTGTCTCAAAATAAAAAACAGACAGGGCTGAGGATGTGGCTCGTTGTGAAAGCCCTGAGTTCCATCCCCTGTACTGAGGAAAAATATTACTACAGTAGTCTTCTGTTAGGATTTAAATCAAGAATACCCTCCTAAATTCTCATGCACTCAGAAGTGGGCTTTGGGAAGGTGATTGAGTCATAGTGCTTCCAGCAGACTCGCTGTTAGAGGCCGGGGTCTGGTTAGAGCCGGTCAAGGTGGGAGGCGTGACCTATTAGAGTTCCTCTTCCTGCCCCGCCCCCACTGTCTCTCTCTACTTCAGCCGCTTTCTGCCACTGGACCTTCCACCATGCAGTTTCTGCTTTGGAGCCAGTAGATGGTGCGTGGAATGAGAGACCTCTGAAACTGTGGGCCAAAATAAACGCCTCCTCCTTCAGGTTCTCAGTGTCGTCGGGTGACCTCTCCCAGCAATGGGATAGTGCCTAAAACTTTCTGTGCTCTCCATAGCGTTGCTTTCCACGGTTTCTATCTGGAGTCCATCAAGCTCCACTTACCTGGAGTCACATGGAAAGTTCGAGAGACAAGCATTTCACAAGCTCTAAATTGAGCACCGTTCTGAACAGCAAGATGGAAACTTGCTCCACAGATATTATGAGTTGTCCCCTTGACCAGAGTCTCTCCACTGTATGAGCTATCCCCACACATTAGTTAGCTGTCTTAGCAGTCGCAGTTAATAAATTGACTAATGTGACTGGCATGGGATGGCAGTGCTTGTGTTTCAGTGGCTTTTTTTTTTTTTTCAATGCTGGATATTGAATCCAGTGTCGGGCAAGCACTCTTCCACTAAACTACAATCCCAGCCTTTTTTATTTTTATTTTGAGACAGGGTCTTGCTAAATTGTCTAGATGGGCCTTGAACTTGAAATCCTTCTGCCTCAGCCTCCTGAGTAACTGGGATTACTGTCGTGCATCATCAAATCCACAAATCAATTCTGCAAAACAAAACCATAGGCCCAGTAGGAAGATACACAGAGTATAGGTCCTTCTAATGTTTCCTTGGGTAATTGTTTGGCTGGGACTCGCGGGAAGTTCAGTTTCCAAAAATGTCCACGAGAGGGCAGTGCTGCTCAGGTTAGGAAGGCTAGCGCACGGCAGGCCGCAAACTTCAGGAACTGCCGAGCTCTGCTCACTTGCATCGTGCGCCCCACAATTCTCTCTCCCTAGAGCCTACAAGCGAGTTGAGTCCCAGCACAGCGCTGCTGACGAGGCTCCCCGCTGCTTTGGCCTGAGAAAGTACTGTGTTTGCTGACTCCTGATCTCGAGCAGCAGCTTCCGCTTACAGATAAGGAAACTGAGGCACGAAGGGACGGGAAAGTGGCCGAGGCTAGGAAACAAGGTCCTGGAAAGTGGGAGGTGGCCCAGTACCGACGCAGATGGCCTCCCTGGTCCAGGGGGCGGGGACCTGGGTGGGGAAAGTCTGTGCCTGTGCTCCATCCACCCAGGTCCTCCGTCCTGCTCATGCACAATATTGGACGCCATCCACCTTCCCTGTGCAGCTGAGGCTCGGAGCCCTCAAGGGCACAGGGTCATTTCCGGAAGAGCAAGGACAGGCCGACAGGCTGCTGGTGCATCCTGGCCTCTATGGGTCACTGGCAGGCCCAGCCCCGGCTGCCGGCTGCAAGGGCTGGGTGGAGCCGGAAGAAGCAGAAAATGGTGCTGGGTGTGCGGAATCCGCTTCGCCCAGAGGGAGAAGGGACCTTTGGAATCAGCCTGAAACCAAGCCCAGTGTTACCTTGTGAAGCTGTCTGAACTCCGGGGAGTCCCCTGCAAAATGGGACCAACCAACTTCCAGCGCTTTCTGGGGCTGCAGGAAGGTGGATAATACAGTTACAGCCTCCGAAGCAGACAGCGATTGAAGCCTGAGTTCTTACCGCTCCACCTTATTTAAACCCTTGGGATGGATCCTTTGGTAGAGGAAGTGGTGTCCCGCGGGGCCTGGCCCCTCCCAGCAGCCTCCAGGACCTCTAGGATCCGCCCCTCTCCCCCCACCCACCGCACCGGCTTCTCTCAGCCCTCTCTGACCTATCCTAGGGCCAAAATTCCATCAGAATTTTGGTTCAGAAACTGTTTGCTTTATTTTTCCCATTTCGTCCTAGACTGGTGTTCATGTAAAATGCAATAAATATGAAAGTTTGACAATGAATATAAAAAGGCACATAAATTACATTAGTGGAGTCATCAGACAGAAACTTCCTGTCACATGACTAAATGTTTCTTAGCCCGGTGGCAGTGGTAGTGGATGCCTATAATCCCAGCAGTCTGGGAGGCTGAAGCAGGAAGATTGTAAATTGAACCCTGCTTTTGCCACTAACTAATTGAGCAAAACCTACATCTCAAAAAAACCACAAACAGGCCTGGGAATGCAGCTCGGTGAGAAGGCCCTGGGTTTAACACAGCACTGCCCAACTCCCTGTTCTTGGAAATGCAGGCAGCAGCCAGAGGACTGGACAAGAGGCTTTGCAAAGTCACAAAGTCACAAAGTCACAAAGCCCCAGGTGGCACTTTAGGCTCAGCTGCAGAGGCAGAGCCTGCTGCATGGAGAAGGTGTAGAGAGCCTCTGGGGACCCTGGGACGAAGGTGGCACGGCAGAGGCTTTGGTTGTGGCTGTCCAGGCTGTCACAGTGGGCTCATGGGGTGGGCACAGGACCGTTGGCCCTGTGGGAGTCCCCACCCTGCTGCTTGTGTCCCACAGACTGAGAAGCACCAGCCGGGGCTCTTGTATTGCCGAGGGATGGGGCCTCTCCGAGCAGGCCCATCACTTTGCCTGTGCTAGAGGCCTGTCTGACTCAGACCCTGGCTTCTCACACGATCCTATCCTTGGAGGTCCACGCAAGCTCTGGAGCTGGAAAGAAACTCCTGGGGATGGAGAGATGAGAAAATGAGCCCTGAGGCAGCCAGCAGGGGTTGAAGCCAAGGGCTCCTAGGGTTTCTCTGGGCCTTCTTGCAAAGGTGGCTTCCACCAGACTTCTAGAAACAGTAGACTTGGGGTACACATTTTGGCCCCTGAATTTTGGCCCTAGGATAGGTCAGACCACACTAGTGATACAGGTGAATGACACTCCCAATCTACTGTATGTCCTGAACGAGTTTATGTTCTCTAACTTCGAAGAATGAATTTTAGGACCAAAGGAGGTTAAGTGCAGAAATATTTATTGAGAGAAAGAAAGCTTCTGTCTGAGAGACAGAGGGGGTCCTGAGTGGGTTGCCAAAGATTCTGTATTTTCTCAGGATTTTTTTCTTTTTTTTTTTTTTTTGTACCGGGGATTGAACTCATGACTGCACGCTTTCAAGGCAGGCTCTTGTGCCGCTGAGCTAAATCCCCAGCCTGTTCTCGGGATTTCTTTGAATAAAACCATGAGGTAAAGTGGACCTAAGTGGGGAAAACTGGGAACTTACAAGGCAGATGGACATGACATGGACAGAGCTACGGTCAAACAATAAGTTTAGTTGTTTAGACAAAATTGACCAAGTCAGGGACAATTTAGCAGGCAAGCATTCTTTATGGATCAGTGACTCTTCTTGTAGGGGGTTGGGATGGTGACTGCTGGCTTCTCAAGGTGATCCATACCTAATCCCTAATGTTTATACTTAGGGTGTGGTTGCATTTGTTTTGCCTTCTGTTCCTAGATCCAGGCCACAACAACAAGTGTGTGTCCTCTCCAAGGTCACCAGACATCTGATCCTCTGTGCTGCCTTTCTCGAAGGCCCAGCCCTGTCTGACTGCCTATAATATTTATAACTAGCTCGGCTGTCTTTAACACTAAAGAATTTACCTCCACATCCTGTGATGACACCACCCACCCAACAGTGAGAGTCCCCACCCCCAGCCACCCAGTACAGCCGGAGTCCCCTGACCAATAGCACATCTGCTGAGCACAAGGCCTGGAACTGTACCTGCTCATCTGTGAGTCTCTTTCTGGACAAATTCTCTGAGACATGGCTCCTTGTTGCCATGATGTGCAGACTTTCAGAAAGGAGTAAACTGGTATCAGCTCATCAGAAATATCACCCTGTAGCTCAGGGCCAAATTTTGTTGGTCCTTGACTCTCCCATGGTACCTCAAAGATTTGAGGGCTCAAGAGAAATCAGTGGGCACAGCAGCTTGCCCAGAGGACTTAGCAGCTCCCGTTCTTAGGATGAGCTCTTTTCTGAGTGGCCCAGGAAAGGAGGTAGTGTTTCATTCCAGAAGAGGGTTCTGTGCTTGCCCAGCATGGAACATCTGAAATGCTAGACCTCTCTGGTTTTCATCTTTTGTCAACAAGCGTGGTAACATTTTCAAGGCTTGTTGAAAGATGGGTGACATTTGCAGGTCTTGGAGGTGAGTTTTACATAAGAAGTCTGGTTGTCTGTTCAGAATTTTAAATTCTTTTAACCTTTCAGAGAGAAAGCTTAAAAATTACCTTAGGACTGCAGAGATGTTCCCTGGAAATATGCTTTTTGATTTCTGCTTGTAGCATATTCACTGTTAATGTTATTCACCATGTTCTTTTCTTGGAAACAGATTAATGAGATTATTTGTGAAGCATAGCCAAAGAAGCTTGCTGGGAAAACAGGCAGGGAATGAAAATGTAGGCTTATGGGATAAAGATAAAACAGGGGGCGTGTGCTGCCAGAGTCAGCTGGAGTCACCCAGGATCTCTCACCTTGAGTAGCTTAATGCTGATCTTTCTGGACTTCAGTTGGCCCATCTGTCAAATGGACAGAGTAACAATACAACCTCAGGGAGCTCATGTAGCAGTTAAGTGAAGAATGCCAAAGAGATGCTCAGAAGCTTCTAGAGCAGTAACCTAACTGCAGGGCCTAAGGACAAGCCCAGGGCCGTGGCTGCTTGGTGCTAGAGGAAGGAGAAGGCACCAGGCAGCAGTGGAGACAGGACTTCTGAATTTTCAATCACACTTTCCTATGTGAGATACACTTAAAAGGGATGTTGGGAGAAAGACACAAATTCCGGTTCTGACTAACGAAGCTCAAAATGGTACTATCATTAGTAATGTCCTATTGAAAATTGCTGAGAGAAAACATTCTGTGTGTTCTGACATCAGTATTGAGGAGGTGAGAGGGTGGCGATGCTAACTGGTTTGATTTAGGCAGCCTACCAGCTATACATATATCAAAAACAGGCTTACATCATGAGCAGGTGGGATTTTTGTCAGTTTAAAAGCACTAGAAAAAATATAACACACATTTAGAAGTAGCTGTGCTATACTGAACTATAATTCATGTAGGTACAGTTCACCTATGTAAAGCGAATGATTTGGTGGTGTTTAGTGAATTTAAAGATGTGCAGAGCTGTTACCACATATTTGGATCATTCCCATGGCTTCAGCAGGACTCCGTGCCCTTTCCCTATCACACCTACCATCAACCTCCTTGGCATTTCTCCTGATTTCTCTGTCCTGGACACTTGGTACTAATGCATGCTGTAGCATACCGTAGTATGTGGTCTCTGCGACCAATCCCCCTCACTCAGTAGAGTGCTGTCAAGGGGCACCCGTGAGATGGCACGTGTCTGTCATACCCTTCTCCTGGCTGAACCCTGGCCCATGGACAGGTGTGTCACATTTTGTTTGTTCACCTCTCAGTTGCAGAACATTTCAGTTATCTTGGCTCTTTAGCTATGACTCATAGTGCCACTGTGAGCATTTGTGTACACATTTTCACGTAGACATACTTTCATTGCTTGGAGTATGTTTCTAGGTTCAGAATGGCCAAATCCCATGCTAGCTGTTCTCTGAACAAATTCCAAAGAGTCCACACCATTTTACAGTCCCACGAGCAGTGAATGGGAATTCTCGTGTCTCCACAAACCCAATAAACCTTGCTACTGGCCAAGTTTAGAGGGATGGAACAAGTTCTCACCAACTTGCCGGGGCTGGCCTCCCAACTCCTGGGCTCAGGCATTTCTGTTGCAGTCTCTTGAGTAGCTGGGACTTCAGGATACAGGTGCACACCACAGCACTATCTTTATCTTACTTTTTTTTTTTTTTTTTGACGACTTTCATTATATTGCCCAGAGTCCTTCCTCTCAAATCCCCAGGCTGAAACAATCTTCCTGTCTTAGCCTCCCAAGTGCCATGACAGTAGGCATGTATCATCAGGACCGATTTTTAATGTGACTGTCTTATCCTAGCCAGACAAGTGGGTTTGAAGTGGTATCTCATTGTGGTTTTGATTTGCATTAACCTAATTAATGACATAGAACATAACCACTTTAAATTTTGAGTGATGAGGATAGGGGTGTTTGGCACATTATACTCTTTACTTTCTAAATGCTCATACACTGTTTTAAAATATTTTGCTTACTATTTTCCTAAGTGCTCATCCCATAGAGAACCTTCAAAACCTGCTTGCGATGCCTTCATAATGGAAGAGTTGGGCTGTGAGCGAGCTCCAGGCTGACACTGATGCTGAGCTGCCTCCTGGTTCTCTGCTGGGAAGGACAGGACAGTTTTACATCAGTTTCTAGCCTGACTGTCCCTTTGAGGAGCTGCCCTCCCAAGAGAGCTGTTTTAGCCAGATTTCCATTACTGTGACAAAATACTGAAGGGAAATCATCCTGAAGGAGGAAAGATTTATTTTGGATCACAGTTTTAGAACCTGCTGGCCAGCTGGCTCCTTTACTTTACACCTGTGGTGAGGCTAAATATCATGATAAAGGGCTATGGTGAAGGAAGGGTTCTCAGCTCATGGCAGCCAGGAAGCAGAGCACCAGAGAAAGTGCTGGAGACAAACCAACAAGTTTGTGCCCCAGAGGCACTCCCTCTAAGCAGCCTTTACCTCTTAGATTCTCACCACTTCTCAGTATTGCTATTAAATTATGAATCCACTGATGGATCAACCCACTGATGAATTTAGAGCCTTCATGATCCATTCATCTTCCAAAATCCCCACCTCTGTACAGG